TTTAGGAGGTTTTAGGGATCACACTAAAGGAAATTTGAAAATGAGGAAAAGTATTTTTAATCTTAACATGAAAATTACTTTGCACATGGACAATTCAAAACAAGTACTCAATATATTCATGGACAAATCTTTATTTTAGTTTATTAAAAATGCTTCACTAAGAAATATGATTTTTTTGTATGTGAAAGACTTATAATGTTAACTGCCAAATTTTGTGAAGATATACACACTATATTGAAAATTAGAAGTATTAAATCTATAAAGACTTTAAACAAATACAAAGAAGTCACGTGTTCGGTCAAATCGACCGAAAGCGTGTTGGGAGAGTTAATCATATAAAGATGAATGTAATTTACTATTTATGTCAAGACTTGTAAGTTTTGATGGACATTCATTTCACAATTAAAAATAGTTGCCACTAAAAGTTGACATAGTTTTCAGCTGTGGTGCATATTTTAGCCTTTTTCATGCAGGTCCACTGTCTTACCTGATGGCTTTTGTAAACTCAAGTTACCGTCTAAGTTTTTTAGAAATATATTGAATATTATTGAAAAACTCCATAATGTACATGTTTATCTGGATAACTTCAAATTTAAGAAAGAGTTTTTTCAAAATTCCCAATATCAAAAAATATAACAAGCAGGAGGCTTTGTATTAAAAGCTAATACCTTGCATGTTTGGTTTTAGTTACAGCTTTCTTGAAAAAACATTTGCTTAGGAGCCAACTAATTTCAACAGTTTAGTTTTATTTTATTTTTCAAAGATCATCTGACAAAAATATAATTTATATAATATTCACAATGTAAATAAGAGTGTAAATTGTATAAATAAAAAGGAAGGGAGTTTAACTTCAATAAGATCTGTACTTATTTATAGCTTTAAATGAATTATATCAAGCTGATAATGTGACATTGTTCTTATCCATTGATTGATTAGCTATTCTTCAAGAAAGACAAAATACATTAGAGTGCAATTTATGTCCTAGATTTGTACTCATTAAAACACTAGAACTGAAGTCAAGTTGTATTTAGTAAAACATGAAAGACTAGGACTGAGTTGAAGTAATACATACACACACTTAGTAAATGGGATGAATTTTCAAGTAACGTGTTGTATTCCTTAGGTAATCACAGAAGAACTAGAGACAAGCAACAAGGATATCCTTATTCTATCTTTCAAAGCTCATCATCTTGACAATAAGGTATATTAATCTCATTTAATGTATAATTTTGAAATTTTTTTAGTATATTGGCTCTTCATGTTATTTATATGAGTATATTATTCTTTTTATGAAATACTGATTCATTCAGAAGTTCTAATGTCTTTCAATATATCATCCAGTATTTTAAGTGTCTCTATATGTTTGACATTAAGAAAGAAATATTAAATAATAATATTTTAAACTACTATCAGATTACTTAATAATGAGTGTTGATGTTCTGTTATAAACAAGATTTTAATGTTGTATAATACATGTGTTGGCAGTTTGATTCATATCATGTAAGAGTAATATTATATCACAATAACAGTATTTTCAAATATTACTTTTTTTTTTTCACTGGCTCAATACTTGTTTCTAATAAGAAGGATGTGTAGTAGCATTTCAACTATAATATATCTCTTGTAATCTAACTTGATGAACTCATAAAACTTAATTATAATGATGTTTTCAGAAATAGTAACTGATAACAAAGGCTGCAAAGAAATAAATTTATTTCCAAGTAAACTTTCAATGAGTAAATGAAACAAAGAAACTACTCTTACAATTTCAAAAGAGAAACCTAGTTGGTCATGTAATTGATTACTGTTAATTCTAATTTGTATAATATAAAAATATTCTTGTATAAATGGTTACATGTGTCCAAATTTCTAATCTTGGTTTCATTTTTAGGATTTTTTTGGCAAATCGGATCCATTTCTTGAATTCCGAAAGCAAGGAGCTGATGGTAACTGGTTATTGGTGCATCGAACTGAGGTGTGTTTGGAAATTAAGTACTTATAACTTATTTTACTTTTAGATTCAAAGGAATAGATTTAGGTTTTTTATAGTTATGACAGGTATTTTGACAATTTATTTACTGGACAGCAACTGCCTGTTGTAGAAACCTACAAATGTAGAGGACGACGTTTCGAAAGTCTTCTGCCTTTCGTCTTCAGGTCAGTGTGTGTGTGGTGTAGTGTGGTCTTTATAGTGTTCATTATGAATACTCTGCCTAAACAACCTATCAAAGATTAGTTTATTTACTATTTATATTTCTTATGTTAGAAAAGTGTTTCATTTTACCTTGTGTGATTTTTGGTATTTGCACTTTACATTTGTCATCTGAGACTAAAAATTTAAGTTTCTGTTG